CTTTTTTCAGAAAAATAATCTTTGGCAAAAGCTGTGCGTCATGTCACAGAGCCAAGACAGACAACTAATTCTGCATTAAAATGTTTTCACCTTCCCATCTGCTGCCAAAAGCTAGCCATTTTGAGCAACAGAGGACAAGCTAGAAGCAGTGGCGGACGCAAGAAGTCTTGGTGGCTGTGTGCTACCAGGAACCTCCGAGTACCAGCTGCTGGGGCGCCCAAGAAGGGAGGGCTGCTGTGCTCATCTCCTCTGTGCAATTTCCCACAGGTACCCAGGTGGTGAGAACTGGATGCTGGACTAGTTGGGCCGAAGTCTGATCCAGCAGGGCTCTCCGGTGTAAACACCATCTCCCTCAGCACCAGTCCCTCTTCAGCAGACACGCCTGTAATTCACACATGTACAGGCTTCCCATGCTCAACACATTTCAAACTCTGCAGGCAGAATTATATCCAGCCTGCCTGGTACATTCTTGCTGCAGAATTCACAAGGTAGTAAGCCCCTTTTCTTTAGAGGTGATCTGGGATTATGTGTGACCTTCTCCGTTATAGCTCTATTCCAGAGTAAGTGGTACTAAGCACCCAGTGTAAGATTCAGGGTTGTTTTCCACTCAGTTGCAATTACTAGTCATGCTGCCAAGACAATACATAAGATCAATTCTTTTGACAACATATCTACATTGGCAGCATCAAAAATATTCAGCAATATTAATTTCGGAAAACAAGCAAAGTAATATTTATCATTTCTGTGAAAATGAAATTCAAAACATCGTGCATCAACTGACGTGACTGAGAACAAATATTGACTACTATACCAGACAGCGAAGGTTTCATCTTCTGGCCCTGACCTGTGTTTGCGGCCAATGCAGGACAGCTGAGCTGGGCTGAGAAACAAGGTGACTCGTGAAGCTTCCTTTGCTTTAAGGGGGCAGCAGGAGACTTACCTGGTTAAGAAATGAAAGAATATTTAAAAGGCTTACAGTGCACTCTTCCACATATTTACAATACGTGATGGGGTTACTCCCTAGTTAAGTGCATTTAAAGACTGCAGCCCTAATGGCTTCCTTGATAATAAATTATGAACTGACCCAGATGGTGAAACAGAGTGTGCAAACTCAAGTTAGGGTCAGGGGTGGGCAGCCGGTGGCCTTCCAGCAGTTTGTTGGACTCCAACTTCCATCACTCCACTCTCAGCCAGCATGATCAATGGTCAGGGATGATGGTAGCTGGCGTCCAGCAACATCTGAAAGACCTCATGATTGAGTTAGACACAGCCTTACGTTCCCTAGGCATCTGAGCTAGAGCAACAGAGAAGAAACAAGCCTCTTAAATAAAACATCCTGTATATTACTAGCAAACTCAGTTCTACTCCTTATGCAGCCAAAGCAGCAGTGGAGGGATTAGCATGCAATATTTGCTGGCGTACATAAAGATTATGTTTACTCCCAAATGGAGATGGTACATTTTGAGAGACAAGAAGCATACGTTTCCATATTTTTCAATTGGGATTTTTTGGGCCATCAATGGACCAACCTTTAAGTTCATGGGTAATATGGAAGTCTGGTTATTATCTTGATAATCTCAGGAATGCACCAGCAAGGCTCTAATATAGTGAATTTAACAACTTGCTCAGGCTGGCTTTTATAAAAATCCATACAATCCAATAGAATGTTTTGATATTAAAGGCTCCAAAGAGATATCACTAAGGATTACCACAATAACCTAGCAATAAGCTTGAGTTTAGATGGTGAACAGCTACATAAAACAAATAATCCAGTTACCAGAACTTTTCTTGCTAGGGGCCATGTTAGCAGGCTGCCCTATTGCTGTCTTTTGCAGTTGCTCCTGGAGTGTCTTCATCTGCTCCCGCAATTTCCTCAGTTCATCTAAGTTGAAAACAATAAATGGACATTTAAAGAGTATCTTATTTAAATACATGGTTAATTAAACAGCCATTTGTCATCAATAAAAATAACTTAGGTAAAAAGTAAAGTGCATAACCAAAAGTCAAATTTTCACCGTGTTCCCTGTAAAGTGCCCAGCTCTCACTCCCCAAGAGCCAGGCTTTGTTAGGAGAGATCGCCTGTGATATAATAGACTCCATTTAACACCGCACCATACAGGATTTCTCTCTGATCCCAAACCATCATTTCTGCCGCCTTGAACAATGTAAAATGCTTAACACAGTGGTGTCCAAACTTTTTTCAAAGAGGGCCAGATTTGATGAAGTGAAGGGCCATGAGGGCCAATAAACTGCCACAGGGGACGGATTGGGCCCCCGAAAGGGACTTTGGAAATGCCTGGCTTAACAAGTGTCATCACAACCACTACTCTTTCCCTAGGTCTATCCTTCCTAATCTGTGCCATGACAGAACACAGGGATGTTTGAGTCTTGAGGCCCTTGATTATTTCCCTATCCTCCCACTTGCTTTCAAATCGAAAAGCTAGAAGGCACAGAAGGAAATCTTCCGAGAACAGAGGAGCCTAGAGCACAGCACAGAGGTCCTTCACATGAGGGCGGACTTGGCTAATTAGATTATGCATTGAAAATCTTTTCTATTAGGTATGGTTAAGACAAAAGCCTCAGGTTTGCAAGGTGAGCAACTTTAAACCATCCAAAATGAAATAATGATTTTTACCTTGCAGATGTTGATTGGTCTTCTCCTTTTCGGCTAGAGAATGAGATGTTTCCTGCACAGTTTTCTCCTCCTCTTCCTCAGACAGGTCACCCACATCTCCAAACAACTCAGACACATTTTCTTTGCCGCTACTGGACTCTCCCTCGTCAGCTTCCACTTCCTCGGTATAGGATTCATCATCTTCTGCATCAAACAGCTCATTATATTCATCTGGCTCTCCATCTGTAGCCACATTAACACCATTCTCCTCACACTCCAGCCCCACAGCTGCCTCATTCTCTTCTAACAGGGAGGCTAGCAGGTCCAAGTTATCATCACCTGGGAGAAAATAAATAAAAAGGAGCAACTTACCAGGGCTCAGATGAGACACAACCCCCAGCCCCAATACAATGCAAGTGTGAGCCCTGATTAGAAAACAGACAGTGCTTAATCTTGTTCCAGTATTCAAGCCAGCTCAGAAATGATGTTCCGAAAACAAATGGGGATGCAGTTCAGCAGCAGAGCACATCAAATAATTCTGCACAGGAATTCACAATGTTCAAGTTCTTCAAGCATCCCTCCACGTGCCACAGCACTGCCATTTATCTGGCTGAAAAGAACAGAATGGGACTGCCTCCAAATCAACTGGCAACAACCTTCTTTTCCTGGCTGGTTTCTTCTACCTTGCATATGGAGCAGTGACAACATTTTCAAGCCTGGAAGAAACTGAATGGCTTTAGAAGATTAGACAAATTCAAAACTCACCATCCATATTTTTTCCAACAGAGACTTTACTGGAGAATTCACGTACCCTGGAGACACATAAGAACAACAATATAAACATGCAATGCCTAATAAATGAAGCTAATTTCTGTGGAGTGCCATAAAATTAAAAGGCTAGCATAAGGTTAATGTATCACTAACATTCAAAGCGGCAGAGAAGCAATGTAGAACTAAGACCTGAGTGGAGAAGCAGAAGAGAGTATATAATCAATAGCTGCTGGGGCTCATCAAGCCTTGCATGGTCCAAGATAACAACCCTTTTCAGCAGAATACACCCCAACAGTCCAATCCCCAGTGTTACTTATTCACAGAAAGTATAAATAAGCACTGTATTTTTCCGTGTATAAGGCTAGGTTTTTTCCTAAGAAATAATGCCAAAAATTAGGGGTGCCTTATAACATGGATACATCTCCCCCCATTTTCTTAAATCGGAGTCCCCAAAAATAGACGAAAAATACAGTCCTCTGCCTTCCCAGCTGGAGGCAGCAATGCTTCTGAATTCCAGCTGCTGGAAACCTCAGGAGGGGAGAGATGCTCTTGTGCTGGGATCCTGCTCCTGGGTTTCCCATAAGAGGCACCTGCTTGGCGGCCGGGACGGGGATCTTCCCCTTGCCTTTCATATTCCAGCGGGTCGTAGAATCCTAGGGCCCCCCAGGGTCATCTAGCCCAGCCCCCTGCTCGATCCCAGGGGCGCCTGGTCCCCCAGCCTCCGGGTCCGCGGCAAGCGGCATTCCTGCCCCCGACCCGGAGGCCGCGGGCGGGCGGGCGGGCGGGGGGGGCTAGTCCAGGCATCTGTATTTGCGACGCCGCTTCGTCTGGCGGCCATTGGTGAGCCGCTTTGGGATCTGAGGGGGACCCCCCCCCCGCCGCCCTCCCCCTCCGCTCTGGCCCGGGCGGGGCCCGCCTGCCGGCCAGCGAGGCGCTTCCAGGCCGAGGCGCCCCGGCCTTCCCCCCCTCGCGGCCTCCGCCTCACCTGCCCCGCTCCGACCTCCTCCCTCGGCGCCGCGCTCCCGCCAGAATTCCGAGCCGAGGCCCCGCCCCTCGCCCGCGCGCATGCCCCGGAAGGGAGGCCGCGGAATCCTAGAGCTAGAAAGGGGCGGAATGGGAAGAGGCGCTCTGCAGGTTGCTAGAGAGAAAGCTTCCGGGCTCCTTCGGGATGTACTGTACCGATTTGCCAAACCAGCGCTCCCACGAGAACAACGGAGAAGCCCGGGATTTTGACCGAGCGTGTCTCACACGCAGCGAGCGAGAAGGGCTGAGCCTGCGCCGGAAGGACTGTCAGGACAGCCCTGCCATGGAGTCCCCTGGGTATTTCTAGTCACAGGCAGCGCTTCTTTTCTGGCGCTCCTCAAGGGAACGCAGTATCAGCACCTCTCCCCCCCCCCCCAATGTGGCCCTCGCTGTAACAACTTCCTTGGAGAAACCTGCTCTGACTCTCCAGAGTCTCTTGCATCAATGTTCCTGCTGGCAAATGTAATGGAAAAACGCCCATACAAACCAGTTTTTGCAACGTAATTTTATTTTTGATGGATTGCTGTTAATTATGAGAACTAATTGAGTATCTCTTCTTCAAGCATAAAATTGCCTCTTTTTCAAAGTTAGGTGAATTTTAAAAAAACATTTATTTTTATATTAAACCGGGTTTATCAACATACCAACATGACAATGTTTTTAGGACCAATTAATCTTAGTCTATAGTTTAAAAGAGTAATTGTATCATTAAGGTGCCTTTGGAGGGACTACAGGATTTCCTCTTCAAGTATTCAGTTACTAAAATATACTGTATTATTAAACCCACAATTTAGTTTCCCCCGAATAGAATTAAGTGAAACGGCAAATGAAGTCAGATGCACTTTTGCCTCCTTGATATTTCCTAACACAGTTCTCAATTCCATTCCAAAGCTACGCAGGCCATCGCCTTTATCCTCTTGAAAAGTGCTGGGCATGTGCTGCCTGGGGCCAAACCAAGAACAGCCACATTTGAGCATGTAGCGAGCATGAGTTTTATAAATGGGGCCTTCATAGCCTCTGAACTCAAGAACCAAGTTCTCTAGACCCATCTTTCTTCCCAACTGTGAGAAGAAAAACCCATCACTTTCATCCACATTCTGTATGTATGTAAGCACAGATATGTATAGGCAGAGAACATGGACTCTCATGAAGCACCTGAGCTCATGCAGGCAGACAAACAGCTGCATAGGCTCAGCTGCACTTACAGATGCCCAGAAGACTGCTAAAATGGGCACACACACATGTTCACACCCATACATAAATGCACATCCTTTCGATTCTCAAACAATAAAACTACCCAAAGGAGTTTATATTCTACCTCTTATAAATATTTTAGTTCAAATAATCATTACGGTGTTGGCATCCTCAGCTTTAGCCAGCTTAGAAAAAAAGAGGCTAACTGGCTTTTTAAAGGGGGAAACCATTTCCCCCACAAGACATAAAATGAAAACCTAAAAATTCCTCTTGAAATAAATAGAAAAAAGACTATTAAATTTCAAAAATCAGGCTCTTTGCTAAGGACATATTCTGTTTAAAAAGTGCATTTCTCATCTTTGAAAATTGTTGAGGCCAGTGCTTAGATGATACAGTCCATGACATGAATCTGAAGTGTGTCCATATCAGGAAGAATCATTCCACACTTCGGACAAGAATGTATTTGGACACTCCTTTGTTGCTGCTGCCAAACCCGATCTTCTGTTCCTGCAGAGACAAATTTCATTTTTGAGAATGAAAGGAAGAGATGTAATATTAACAAACATCAAGATGGTCAGGTCCTCTTGTTGAAAAGTCAGTGTTGCTAATCTTTTTGCACTCGTGGGCACATAGGGAATTTTGAGAGACAGCTGTGGGCACCAACCCCTCAGGTAACTTTTCTCCTCTCTCCCGCAAGTCACTTCCACAGAAAGAATGAGAGAACACACACACACTTTGCTTTTTCCCACTGGGTCTCAGTAAAAGTCAGATCCAATAGAATTGAAATGGATCCTCTTGAACTTGCATGATTTTACATCATATCTCCCCTGCCCCAAAAAACTACCACAATAACAGTGACCTATGGCATGACTCCTCATGATTCCCCCCCCCCATGACAATAAAGCAACCAACAAATTGCAGAAGACATTTGTAGATAAATAAGCGGCCCAAGTGGGTTCACAGGTGGATTTCAAAGCCAGTCCCTCTGCCCGTGGAGTTCTGGAGACAGTTCCTAGGAGAAAATGTGGGCCATCTAACAACTGCAGCTCCCTTAACAAACTACAGTTCCCAGGATCCTTGGGGGGAGGGAGCCCATAACTGCTTAGAGTTGTATGATGCTACTTTAACTGCATAGTGCAGATGGGACTCAAATGCTGTACCATACAAAAGTCCTTGCGTATGTATTTTGAAGCCACACAGCCCAGGAGTAGATTTATCTTCCTCAAACTCGGCCCTCCAGATGTTTTGAAACTACAATTCCCATCATCCCTGACCACTGGTCCTGCTAGCTAGGGATCATGGGAGTTGTAGGCCAAAAACATCTGGAGGGCCGAGGTTAAGGAAGCCTGTCTTAAACTGTTGTGTGAGAACTGGACTTATGGGAATCTCAACAGTTATGCGACACGAGGAACTATTTTTTGGATGTGTCTAATAATCCACATGGTAGTCCTCTGACCTCCTGCAAGGAGCATAGTCAATGAGCAATTACAGTCTATAGACAGCTGCTGGAATAGATAGGTTTGCAAAAAGTAAGTTCTGATGGCAAAAATCTGAGGGTGGCATTCAATTGAGTTTTACTCAGAGGTTATCCACTGAAGTTAATGAACCTAAATAATTAATAATAATAATATATTATTTATACCCCACCCATCTGGCTGGGTTTCCCCAGCCACTCTGGGCAGCTTCCAACAGAATATTAAAATACAATAGTCTATTAAACATTTAAACATTAAAAACTTCCCTAAACAAGGCTGCCTTCAGATGTCTTCTAAAAGTCTGGTAGTTTCCCCCCTCTTTGACATCTAGTGGGAGGGCGTTCCACAGGGCGGGCGCCACTACCAAAAAGGCCTCTGCCTGGTTCCCTGTAACTTGGCTTCTCGCAGTGAGGGAACCGCCAGAAGGCCCTCAGCACTGGACCTCAGTGTCCGGTTAGAACAATGGGGGTGGAGACGCTCCTTCAGGTATACTGGACCGAGGCCGTTTAGGGCTTTAAAGGTCAGCACCAACACTTTGAATTGTGCTTGGAAACGTACTGGGAGCCAATGCAGATCTCTCAGAACCGGTGTTATGTGGTCCCGGTGGCCACTCCCAGTCACCAGTCTAGCTGCTGCATTCTGGATTAATTGCAGTTTCCGGGTCACCTTCAAAGGTAGCCCCACGTAGAGCGCATTGCAGTAGTCCAAGCGGGAGATAACCAGAGCATGCACCACTCTGGTGAGACAGCAGGTAGGGTCTTAGCCTGAGTACAAGGTGGAGCTGGTAGACAGCTGCCCTGGACACAGAATTAACCTGTGCCTCCATGGACAACTGTGAGTCCAAAATGACTCCCAGGCTGTGCACCTGGTCCATCCGTTCAAGACCAGACCCAGAGGTAGGGATAGTCCTCAAATAACAACTAAACCTGCCTCCTCGGTAATGAAATGGTCTGGTCATAGTCCTTTATTTCAATGGGTCTACTACTTGGAGTAATCCCTGGAAAAGACCCTGATGTTGGGAAAGATTGAGGGCACAAGGGGAAGGGGATGACAGAGGACTGGATGGTTGGACAGTGTTCTTGAAGCTACTAATGTAAGTTTGACCAAACTGTGGGAGGCAGTGGAAGACAGGAGTGCCTGACGTGCTCTGGTCCATGGGGTCACGAAGAGTCGGACACGACTAAACAACAACAACAACTTGGAGTAAAAGTTATTTGGATGCCACCCTGAGTTGGCTGTGTGAACCAAGAGCTGTGGTGTGGCAAGTTTCTCAGTTTGCCCTTTTAATTTTACCTCCTTGAGAAAAGTGAGACTGGCCTTGATCTGATGGGAGTCTGTGCCGAGTTTGCATTTCTGCCAGCATATTCCTAGAGAGAGAGAAAAAAAGAGATTGCTAATGCCATGCCCTCATTTTTTATGGCTCCCCCCCCCCCCAAATCAGCATGGCAGTGAAGAACTGAAAATGGAGAGAAAAGATGCAGCCCAATAAACTTATTTTTTTAAAAATAGTCCCACTGTTCTCTCCTCTCACAAAATATTGAAAATGTTTCAGTAGCTAAACATTTCCTCTGATCCATTTCCCACCTTCCGAGATCTTCATGGTCTTGCTTCTCTGTCAGCAAGTACGCTAGCTGGGCAGCCAATTGCTCCTTTTCCTCGTGGATCTTCTCCCGTGCTGCTCGTTCAGCGTGGAAGTCAGAACAATAGAGCTCCATCTAATCAGGGAACAAACAGGAATAAAGATGACAACGTGCTTTAAAAAGAGATAAATGAGTCCATCTGAGTTAATATGCTGCCCTAATCCTGATCCAAATCAAGGGTGGCTGTACTAGCTAAAGGATCCTGCCTCACTGAGCTTCCTCAGCCATCATCCGCCATGAACCACCATTGGCAGCAACAGCTCCAGGTATGTTCTATGCTTATGATAATATTTTATTCTCTTGCTAGTTGTGCTGTTTTAAGTGTGCATTTTATATTCGACTTCCTCTAGTAATGTTTTCTCTTGAAATCTTTTAAGATAATATTTTAGTTTCTTGTTAATTATGTAGCCTTGAATGTATACTTGTCTGTCTTCAGTATTGTTTTATTTGATCCTTTAATCTAGGTTGTAAACTGGTTTGAGATTTTTTTCTTAAAAAATAAAGCAGTATAGAAATGAAAATTAACAACAACAACAACAACTCATTTCTTTACACAATCAAGACTTCAGAATTTGGATTACAATCATAGCCGAAAGACTGAATAATCTTAGCACTAATCAGTTGGATTTATTAAAAAGCAGAAAATTGCAATCAACATCAAATGCCTAATTAATTGCATAAAAATATTACAGTCAAACCAAGAACAATAAGCAGTTATTTTCCCCAACGTGTAAAAAGCTTTTGGCCATGTAAAATGGTATTTCTTATATAATACTCTTGAATCATTGCCTTGATAAGTATAATATAGGATCACAGTTTAAAAACTAGATTACTTTAATGTAGTAAAAAGGTAAAGGTACCCCTGCCCGTACGGGCCAGTCTTGACAGACTCTGGGGTTGTGCGCCCAACTCACTCAAGAGGCCGGGGGCCAGCGCTGTCCGGAGACACTTCCGGGTCACGTGGCCAGCGTGACAAAGCTGCTCTGGCGAGCCAGCACCAGCACAGCACACGGAAACGCTGCTTACCTTCCCGCTAGTAAGCGGTCCCTATTTATCTACTTGCACCCAGGGGTGCTTTCGAACTGCTAGGTTGGCAGGCGCTGGGACCGAGCAGCGGGAGCGCACCCCGCCGCGGGGATTCGAACCGCTGACCTTTCGGTCGGCAAGCCCTAGGCGCTGAGGCTTTTACCCACAGCGCCACCCGCGTCCCTACACTTTAATGTAGTACAAACCCTCAAACAACAGTCTATGTAAATGGCTCACTCTCCTCCCAATTTAATTTACAAAGTGATATATGCCAAGGGTGTCCATCCTTATGTACTGAATTATTTTGTTAAGTGGCACACATACACACATGCATATGAGTTTATATTAGCATTTATTTATTTAAGCTTATCTATATATCTAAAGTTTCTAAGATCAATTCTTGTTTGCCTGTTATAATAAATAAAACTTTAAATAAATAATAATAATTTTATTATTTATACCCTGCCCATCTGGCTAGGTTTCCCCAGCCACTCTGGGCAGCTTAGAAAATAAACGGATTATCTTCAATGTTAGTCATACTTAAGAGTAGACCCGCTCAAATGAATGGGCTCAAGTATTTTAAGTCAATTGATTTCATTCTCTCTGCTTAAGAGTGGAGCAGGATTTCACCCACCCACCACATGACAGGTGTCCTTACCATACCTGAGCTCGGAGGATAGCCACGGTTTCCAGTTCTTCCTCCTGCCTGGCAATGGTCTGCTTCATTTCATCTATCTGGAACTGTTTTGCAGCTAGGGCTTCCTCTGCCATATCCAGTCTGTGAATAAGTTCCTCAGCTGTAGCCTTATTGAGCCTTTCAGCCTGCAGCAGGTTTAACCAGGGCGGGGAACACAGTGCAATCAGAAACATCTTATGGCTTCTGGTGGCCTGGCAGTCTAAACCCGTGAATGAGCTGCATCGCAGTGCAAGCAGCTGCTCCCAATGCAAAAATCAGGAGGGGAAAACACTGTGGTCACAGCTTGGTTATGTGGGGCTCTGCATCCAGTTCTACTACTCCTGTCTGGAAAACAGTGTACTAAAGAATGGAAAAGTATGGCTCCACCACTGTTGCAGGTGAAGGAGACCATGATCTCTCCTTAGGATGCCATCATCATAAGTGCCGTCATCCCTTCCCATTTTCTGCTCCCATACCAATAAATGCTCTAAAGCATAAATGCACATGTCATAACCTACCTCTCCCACAGTTATCTTTTATCAATTGCACTTCTTTAGTCTTCTTTCTTTTTTCTCTTCTACACTACTTAAATCAGGGAAGTCTTTATTAACGCTGTGCTAAACCTCAGTACTGTCTAATGTTGCTATTTTTAGTCATTTTTGCTTTTGCATGTTATTATTAAGAATACAAATGGAAGAAAGCACTTTGCACAACACAGCTGGAACCATGCAGAGCAACTGGGAGATATGGGCACCTCCCGCGTGTTCTGACCCTATTGAACCCCGAAGGAACTTTCACAAAGGGGGTGGAAATGCTGTTCATTCCACTTCCTTACATAGCACTGGGACTATTCTTTAGAGCAAGGCTTACCTCTTTGTCTTTTAGTTCTTCAACTGTCTGCTTTGCTTTGGTCAGTTCAGGTACAAGCTTGCTATAAGCATCCTGCAATGTGTTAAATTTCTGTCTGTTGGAAGACAAGTAAAACAGATATGAAAATAAGCAATTTTAGGAAGAAAGGCTTATTTGATGACTTTCTGCTTTGTTCACTTGTGTCCTTCAATGATTTCACAGTTCCTCAATAAAACAGAGATAATTTCTCGGTGTATTAAATTTCAACAACAAAATACATGTAGACTGTGTGGCAGCCTTAGGACCCTTTCACATACTGCACTTCAACAAACCAGGGCTTGCCACAGAATGTACACCAGGACAGGGATCTACAGCAAATCCTCTGACAAGTGTATCATTTTATCATATTCACATTTTCTCTACATATATTGGGAGAGAGGGGAGAGACTGAATGCATACTTGTAAAATGCAATGCAAGAAAAGGCCCTATATAATAATAATAATAATAATAATTTATTATTTATACCCCGCCCATCTGGCTGGGCCTCCCCAGCCACTCTATACCTTTTCTTCACACAATGAATAACCAAGGTAGGGCAATTTCAGTTGGAAACCTAATCAGCACCACAGGTTTCCCTAAAGAGAAGGGTTTTTTTTGTCAGATTCTTCTTTGCAAGCTCAGTTTGGCTGATCAGCAGTGACAATCATGGAGGCGGAAATAGAAGGCGTGCATCGCAGCCACATTCCGAGCCTCACTTTCACGGCCCCTGCTCCGGAGCCCATGGACTCACTGCTCTTCGTTTGCTCTGGCTTCCTCCAACTTGATTTCTGACTGCATGCTCTCCACTTGAAGCTCCAGCTTCTTAATGGTGTACAGCAGCTGCTGCTTCTCATCCAGGTCTCCAGCACTTTCACCATGTTGCTGTCCCTCAAGAGCCTGGCACCTGGGAAGGAGATCATGCGGAACTTCACCAAGGAGTGAATGGAGGGAGAGAAATGCTCTGCCAGAAACTGGTTGCACCCCTTGTGGGATGCTCTGCCTCAAGAAAATATAAATGCCTGTTCTGATATGTAATTCAACAGCACTCTTACTTCTCTTGCAGCTTCTTCTGGATTATCTCAGCATCTTTTAATTTAGCATGTGTCTCCTGAAGTTCTCTGAACAGGGCAGACACTTGTAGGTTTAGTCTCTCTACTTCATCACCCACCTGCAAGAAACACGCAAAACCACCTAAAAACACAGGTTGAGTCCATACACTTACTGCAGACTGAATTAACAATACAGCCCTGCTATTATGCTTCTAGTTTTTTGCATAATTAGTCAGAAAAGCATGTCACTAGTAGCAGATTTGAGTTTAAATATTCTGAATATACACATAAGAAAGAGCCTCTTGTCTGCAGCAGAGGCAAGATAGGCACAAGAGCCATTTCTATAATGGGGCAAGCAGCTTCTGCAAAACCAATCTGCATTCCCAACTGTTTCTACCAAGCAAACAATTGTTCCTAGCTTGAGGGAAGATGAACACAGACCCTGAGCTGCAAGGCATCCACACCGACTCCCCTGACCTCCCTCATTTGGTGTCTACATGGGTAAGGCCAAACCATTGGTGAAATATAGGTGGTGTCACCTCCAGTTCAATGAGGCCGTGGAACTCTGCCTGTCAAGTTTCCCAGAGGCAAGTTTACAGCATCACCCAGAATGTGTGAGATATTCTGAGACCCAATGGTCCAGATCAGCATTTGCATTAGTGGGCAGCTGCGTGCAAATGAAGGCATGAGAAACTTTCGAAAGTTCACTCTGCCCATTGGGTGACAAGCATTCTAGAGCAGTGTTTCCCAACCTTTTTTGGGCAAAGGCACACTTGTTTCATGAAAAAAATCTTGAGGCACACCACCATTACAGCCCCGTGACGTCAGCGCGCAGCGTCACGCCGGGAGGGACGCACGAAAGTGTAAGTTTCAATTTTTCCCCCTCCCCCTTGCCTTCCTTCTGTGCCAACCGCCAAAAAGCCAAGAAAAAAGCCAAGACTTTAGGGCAGCAGGTCGACACGGAAGAAGCTCCTACCTAAGGACAGGTGCGACGGCCGTGTTCTCTTCTGCCACACTTGGCAGCCCTGCCTCACGGTCGTGACTCCCACCCTGATTTCTCCCCGCAGGTCGAGCGGCACAGGCAGCCCAATGTGTCCAGCCCAGACACAAGCCCCGCTTCCCCACTCTAGATCCTGAATGCGACCAAGTGCTCTGGACTCCCGAGCAGGGTGGGAAAGAGGACTCGCATCTGGTAGCCTCCGGGCTCCTCGCCTGCTCGAGGGATGGCATTGCAGGCAAGCTGCCGGCCGTCGCCATCGCCGCCCCCTCATGCGAGTGGACCTGCCCGGAGTGGTGGGCCGGGGGAGGCTCGCTCTCTGTGGGGATGTGGCCCGCACGCGCGGCCCCGCTTCCTCCTGCCCAGGGCTGAGCTCCTTACCCGCAATCTCGGTCTCGTGCACGCGGATCCCACTTATTCTGAAGCTCGCGCCACTAGCTGGGGCTCTCACACCGTGCCAGGGCGAGGCGGCGCGGCCCACTGACGTCATCGCGGCTCGCCGCCGCCCTCGACTTCCCTGTTCCCTCCCCTCCCTCGGGTCGCCGTGGTTACCGAGGACTGCAAGCTGCTCGGGCGAGCGTGGGGCATTAAGTGGGAGAAGGAAAATTAAAATTAAAACTCGCCTGAAGGCCGCCTCTCCGGATACAGTGGTGCCTCGCAAGACAAAATTAATTCGTTCCGCAAGTCTCTTCGTCTTGCGAGTTTTTCGTCTTGCGATGCACGGTTTCCCATAGGAATGCATTGAAAATCAATTAATGCGTTCCTAGGGAAACCGCCTTCAGACCAGGTCCGGGGACAGTCTGTCCCCCGACCTCTTCTGAAGGCTGGGGGGGGGGGACAAGGGCTTTTCTTCCCACCCCCAGCATTTTAAAAAACCCCGGGACAGCGGAGGACTTCTCCACTGTCCGGGGCAATCTTAAAATGCTGGCGGGCGGCATTTTAAAATCGCCCGGGACAGCGGAGGACTTCTCCGCTGTCCGGGGCGATTTAAAAGCCCCTGGGAAGGCAGGCAGGGGGGACAAAGATTTTCGCCCCCCGCCCGCCTTCAGAAGAGGTCCTGGACCTCTTCTGAAGGTGGGTGGGGGTGAAAGTCTTTGCTCCCCCCTGCCTGCCTTCCCGGGAGAGCGGAGAAAGGCAGCGCGTTTCACCGCTGTCCCGGATGGCTTTAGAAGGTCCTTGACCTCTTCTGAAGGCGGGCGGGGGCGAAAGCCTTTGCTCCCCCCTGCCTGCCTTCCCGGGAGAGCGGAGAAAGTCAGCGCGTTTCTCCGCTGTCCCGGACGGCTTTTGAAGGCAGGCTTTTGAAAGCCGTCCGGGACAGCGGAGAAACGCAGCGTGCCCTTGCCGCTGCCCCCCGACTTGGCTGGAAGGCTGGCGGGGGGAGAAGCCTGCTCCTCCCCATCGCCAGCCCCGCAAACTCGGGGGACAGCGGGAGAGGCACAGCGCGCCCTTGCCGCTGCCCCCCGACTTGGCTGGAAGGCTGGCGGGGGGAGAAGCCTGCTCCTCCCCATCGCCAGCCCTGCAAACTCGGGGGACAGCGGGAGAGGCGCAGCGAGCCCTTGTCGCTGCCCCCCGACTTGGCTGGAAGGCTGGCGGGGGGGAGAAGCCTGCTCCTCCCCATCGCCAGCCCTGCAAACTCGGGGGACAGCGGGAGAGGCGCAGCGCGCCATCCCGCTGTCTCCCGACATGGTTTGGAGGCTGGCGGAGGGCTTCCTCCTCCCCCAGCCCCGCAAGCTCCCAGAGCGATGCCAAAGCTGCGCGCAGCTTCGGCATGGCTCTGGGTCCCGTTCTGGGGGAGGGGGAAGCTCGGGCTTCCCCCGCCCCAGCCCCACGCCTGGCGGTGGGGGAATAATTTTTTTCCCCTTTATTCCCCCCTCGCCAATTTTTCCCGCGGCACACCAGGCAACGTCTCGCGGCACACTAGTGTGCCGCGGAACACCGGTTGGGAAACACTGTTCTAGAGCCCATCCGTAGGAAGGACAAGTCTACCCAAAAGCTACCAACAAACAAGCATGTCTGGCATGGTGCATTAATAGATGAGCCACACTTACGCTTTCTGCTCTCTCTTTTACTTCCTCCTCCTCAGGTTCCATCTGAGTGCCTTTCTCTGCAGTTTTATTTTCTAACAAAAGTCTGTGAAACACAAGAATCCAATCCCAATTTAAACATATTAGTATGTAAGTCATATTGCTATAGATTTGATGGGAAAGGTCATGAGAACATGCGACAGTCAATGCTATTTTCCAGAAGCCCTTCTCCACTCCTAAAGCAAGAGGGATTCATTGTGGAATCTGTTCACTGTCAACACAAGAATACAAGACTGCTGCATTTGGGGGAATGTGTAGGTAGCACAGGTCAAAGCCACTCCAGCTGCAGGGCATTCTCTCTTGCAGAGTAGAACAAACAGTTGCCAGTGAACTAAGAGCAATACAGTGGTACCTCTGGATGCAAATGGGATCTGTTCCGGAGCGCTGTTCGCATTCGGAAGCGTCATTTTGAGCGTCTGCGCATGCGCAAGTGGTGGAACACATTTAACCTGAGGTATGACTGTAATTGTTTTTTCATGCTACTAAAACATTTAAAAGGTATATATATATATATATATATATATATATATGCAGGTTTTGGTGTCCTCGGGTGTCTTCCCGTGTAAAAGTTGGGGTGTCTAGGCGACGTTTCGACGAGGTCTCACTCGTCATCTTCAGGCTGGTGCTTTCGGCTTCTTGTTACTGGAACAGAGCAGGATCTCAGTGTTTGAGTTCCTATAAATACTGTTGAGGAGGTGTGGTGTATAGCCTCCAATGTTCTGGGCAGAGAGGAAGTTCCCAGGCTAGTGTGCCTTTTCTTCTTTTGTTCCTTAATTACTTGAGGGATATCTTGAGTGATTTCTTGAGTGATATCCTGAGTACCACTTAGGTGGGTCATTAGGTGTGGATTAGTTGCTAAAGCCTTCGTGTCTTGACCTCTTGAACTTTGTGAAGAGTTTTTCTGAGAAGATGGCTGTACTGCACTTAGTTGTGCTCTGGCTTGGCTTCGTGTATAGGGGCGAGCTGTGGTTTTGTGGCCTGTGCCAGCCAGATCTGTGTAGGGATTGCAGGGGGGTGCAGCATCCGGAGGTGCCACCATGGTTTGGCTACTGGATGGTGTCTGTAATTTATCTGTGGAGAGGGTCTGGGTTTGGGTCTGGAGTGGTTGATTGGTGATGGCGTTCTGTGTGCCTCTGGATCTGGTGTCGGTTTTTGTGGGGAGGGCTAATTTCCAGATGTCTGGCAGGCGGGATGTGTCGTCACGCTTGTTCATGTTGTGAGGGTGTTTCTCTATCTCGATGGCTTCCATGATTATTCTCTTGTGGTGATGTTCCATGTTAAAGAGCAATTTGGAATCTGCAAAATTAATTTCGTGTCCTGTTTCTTTCATGTGTTGGAAAAGAGAGGAAGTTTTTTCTTCTTTTTTGACGGCATTCTTGTGTTCTGCGATACGTGCATTTATTCGTCTGTTTGTTTGTCCAATGTACGTGGCTGGGCAGACTTTGCAGGGTATTTCATAGACCCCTTGGTTTTCCAACTGGATTTTATCCTTGGGGTTTCTGAGGATATTGGCTATTTTTTGGTTGGTGCAAAAGGCTGTTTTGATATTGTGTTTATGGAGGATTTTGCTAATTTTATCTGTAGTGCCCTTGATATAAGGAAGGAGGGCCATGCCATTGTTTTCTTCTGTGTCTTGGTTTTTGGGGGGTGTTTCTTTTTGGATTAGCTTCGTAACCCTGTTTTGCTGGGTTAATGTGTTAATCGCCAATGGATACCAGCAAAACAGGGTTACGAAGCTAAGGGGTCTATGAAATACCCTGCAAAGTCTGCCCAGCCACGTACATTGGACAAACAAACAGACGAATAAATGCACGTATCGCAGAACACAAGAATGCCGTCAAAAAAGAAGAAAAAACTTCCTCTCTTTTCCAACACATGAAAGAAACAGGACACGAAATTAATTTTGCAGATTCCAAATTGCTCTTTAACATGGAACATCACCACAAGAGAATAATCATGGAAGCCATCGAGATAGAGAAACACCCTCACAACATGAACAAGCGTGACGACACATCCCGCCTGCCAGACATCTGGAAATTAGCCCTCCCCACAAAAACCGACACCAGATCCAGAGGCACACAGAACGCCATCACCAATCAACCACTCCAGACCCAAACCCAGACCCTCTCCACAGATAAATTACAGACACCATCCAGTAGCCAAACCATGGTGGCACCTCCGGATGCTGCACCCCCCTGCAATCCCTACACAGATCTGGCTGGCACAGGCCACAAAACCACAGCTCGCCCCTATACACGAAGCCAAGCCAGAGCACAACTAAGTGCAGTACAGCCATCTTCTCAGAAAAACTCTTCACAAAGTTCAAGAGGTCAAGACACGAAGGCTTTAGCAACTAATCCACACCTAATGACCCACCTAAGTGGTACTCAGGATATCACTCAAGAAATCACTCAAGATATCCCTCAAGTAATTAAGGAACAAAAGAAGAAAAGGCACACTAGCCTGGGAACTTCCTCTCTGCCCAGAACATTGGAGGCTATACACCACACCTCCTCAACAGTATTTATAGGAACTCAAACACTGAGATCCTGCTCTGTTCCAGTAACAAGAAGCCGAAAGCACCAGCCTGAAGATGACGAGTGAGACCTCGTCGAAACGTCGCCTAGACACCCCAACTTTTACACGGGAAGACACCCGAGGACACCAAAACCTGCATTCCTATACCCGTGAAAATCTACGAAAGCATATATATATATATATATATAAAGATTGTAAGTAGTATAATGGGGGACGCGGGTGGCGCTGTGGTCCAAACCAATGAGTCTCTTGGGCTTGCTGATCAGAAGGTCGGCAGTTCAAATCCCTGCGACGGGGTGAGCTCCCGTTGCTCAGTCCCTGCTCCAGCCAACCTAACTGTTCAAAAGCACAAAGTGCAAGTAGATAAATAGGTACCGCTCCGGCGGGAAGGTAAACAGCATTTCCGTGTGCCGCTCTGGTTTCGCCAGAAGCGGCTTAGTCATGCTGGCCACATGACCCGGAAAAACTGTCTGCGGACAAACGTTGGCTCCCTTGGCCAGTAAAGCGAGATGAGCGCCGCAACCCCAGAGTCGTTCGCGACTGGACTTAACTGTCAGGGGTCCTTTACCTTTACCTTTTAAAGTAGTATAATGGTTAGAGTTTTGGAGTAGGACCTGGGAGACCTGGGCCCAAATCCCCACTCAGCCTTCATGAAACTCACTGGGTGACCTTGGGCCAGCCACTGCGTCTCAGCCTAACCTACTCCACAGGGTTGTTGTGGAGATTAAATGAGGAGGGGGAGAACCATGTACACCCCACCTTGAGCTCCTTGGAGAAAAAGGCAGGATATAAATGCCATAAATATAAATATTAAAATCTCTAACACTTTAGATGCAACTTAGGTTATTAGGGGCTTACAAAAACAGCATTAATTGCCTTACAGTGTAGCTGAACAGATGACAGGGACAACATGTGTGAAATGCTTAGGGGAAACACTCAGAAATACGATTTTAAGTTCCGGACTTAACAGCCTTGTTTGAGATCATATCTATGCATCAAAACACTGAAAATGGATTGTATTCAACGTTAACAGTGCTTAGACCCATTGAAAATAATGGACAAGACCACCTGAGGTCCATTAACTTCAATAGGTCTCCTCTGCGTATGACTAATGTTGGATTCAACCCAATTAATTATAAGCTATAGATGGCTGCCACCTTTCCTTCTGCTGCTGGAGCTCCTTTTCCAAGGCTTCTCTCTTCTGGGTCTCGCTCCGGAGGGAATGAAGAAGCTGGCTGACAGTCAACTCTTCGGTTTCCAACTTTTTTTTTGCTTCATCCAGAGATCTGCTTCTGTTTTGACAAAATAGAAGAGAGCAGAGCAGTAGCTGGAGTGCTGCACTTCACTCTTCTTCTTTTAAACCCCTTTCTCTAACAGAAGACTAGGAAGGGTAGCACAAATCAAAATCTACCATTAGGAGCAGCCCAGGAATTCTACTTACACATAGGCAGCTGCATCCCTCGTTGTTTTGCCACGAAGGTCCTGAATTTCTTTCACACCTCCGTTTAATTCTCCTTCCTGTGGAAAATTGGAAGGGGAGAACATGACAACTCTGAATCTGACATGTTGCAGTTATGTGATGCATTGCAGTAATCTCCCTCCAACATCAGTGGGCTGACTTCCCACATTTTGAAATAATGAACATTACCACCAGAAGTCGGGGGGGGGGGCACACCATAAGACTCTGAAGCCCAGAGATTACCCAACTGCACAACTGCTTCCAGACCAACCGACAGCACCTGCCATGCATTTTTTTCTCTGGGAGAAGGGACAGCTCTCGCTTACGTGCATCCTGATCTCCACAAATGAGTCGTCAGTTCCAATGTTGAGTTTAAGCTGCAGCTCTGAAATGATGGCAACCAGATCGGCCTTCTCAGCCTGCAGCTTCACCACTTGCATCCTCAGCTGCTCCAGCTCCTGGGCCATCTCCTTTTTGGAAACCGTGCATCCCTAGGAGAAGCAGTTTAGACGGAGAGGGTCAGAGAAGCCAGGAGATACAGAAGGACATGCCACATATTAACTAGGCCCTTTTAAAATGTGGTTCTTTTTTGGGGGGGTGTGTTATTGGGTTGTTGTTTTTCTTTTGATTATATATATTGTGGTTTTATATTTTGATTTTGTTCTGTGAGCTGCCCTGAGACCACTGGGTATAGGGCAGTATATAAATGCAATAAATAATAATAAGAATAACTGGACATTGAGTTCATATAAGCCCAAGCTCTCTGCCCCCTGCCGCCTTATTTATTTGTATTAAAATTTCTATTCCAGCCATCTAGTGCCTATGTGTTTATCTTCCCCTTTTATAATATTGCAGATTGTAAATCTTATTGTTTTATTCCTTTGATCTGTTTTAAACTTTTGGCATATACAGTTGTACCTTGGTTCTCAAACTGCCTTGGTGCTCGTACGTTTTGGCTCCTGAACACTGAAAACCCGGAAGTAAGTGTTCCAGTTTATGACTTTTTTTTCAGAAGCCGAACGTCCGACGTGGCTTCCAGTTGAGTGCAGGAAGCTCCTGCAGCCAACTGGAAGCTGCACCTTGGCTTCTGAACGTTTCGGAAGTCAAACAGACTTCCAGAATGGATTACATTCAAGAACCAAGGTACGACTGTGTGTGTGTGTGTGTGTGTGTGTGTGTGTGTGTGTATATATATATAAAACAAAACTGCAAGTCATTTCAAAGCATTTTATGTTGTTAGTGACAAATCAATGTAATAAAGAATATGAACTGCACTTACGACTGCAGCCTTGGACAGTTAGCTATTCACAGTGTCTCTGCTGTTGTTGTTGTTTGTCCAGCAATAAAAAAAAAAGTTTCTCTAGCTGTGCCAGTTTTTATAGCTGTGCCCCATGCATGCACACATGCTCATAGTTTTATTTACCTTTGTGGACCCTTCCTCTCTCTCTTCCAGAGTCTGGAGTTGCTCTTTCAGGGCTTCATTCTCTACACATTTGGTTGCCAAGCACTGCCTGGCTTCCTTGAATTTAGTTTCATAGAACTCCCGCTCTTCTTTCAGCTTTTCTCTCCATGTGGAAAGCTCCTCAAAGCGATCCTTCATAGCTTGATTACGCTGCCTCATGGCTTCTGTTGGGACATGCCAAAATAGTGCATTAGCATGTATCAATATACTCCAGCTACTCTCCCTCCCCAAACCGGAACCTGGATATAGGAAAAATACACTGAAAAGGGCAGGGCTCGCCCGAGACACTTTGCCACCTGAGGCAAAACACAAACGGGCTCCCCCTCTCCCCACCAGGGAAGAAGGAGAGGGAGAACAAGTGGGGAATGAAGCTCTACGTCGGGATCTGCTGCCCCTGTGGATCCTGCCACCTGATGTGGTTGCCTCACCACACCTAATGGGTGGGCCGGCCCTGGAAAGTTTCATGGATGAAACTGCACTTTTGCAGTGCTGCCTGGCCCACTAGGGACGAAAGGGGCACTGCTCTGCCAACCTCAGACTGCCTTTGGCCAGCCCCATCTGCCTGCTTTCTTACTTACAACCTATCCAGGGGGTGGCACTGCCTGTCAGCTCCTACCTTGAGTCTCAGTGATGGCTTTGTAGAACTCAGCAGGTGGGGAGGACAACTGGAATTGGGAAAGAGAGTGCCTCTGAGCACTCACACAGTGCTTTGCTAGTGAGTAACTACAGCTGACGGTCTTAGCATCAAGAACTAAGGGAACACAGACTCATAAGCTAAGACCCCTAGATCCTTTTCACATGTACAACTAGCAAGTCAAGTGTCCCCCATCTTCCTGCCTAAGTGTAGAACCTTACACCTGACCCTACTGAAATACTTATTGTTAGTTTTGGCCCAGTTCTGCAACCCCAGTTCTGTCTTCTGCAGCACTGGCTCCCCCTCCCAGTTTGGTGACATCTGCAAATTTGATGAGCGCCCCCTCAATACCATCATCCAAGTCATTTATAAAGATGGGCTGTTTGTGAGGTGGGAAGAAAGCACGTTGTTCAGGCCACCTTAAGTCCCAGATATACTATTAACATTCATCCCATGCACCTCTCCAGTTATGCCACCATAGAAGCAGGCAGTCTCCACTGACTAGACCCAGATCTGCTTAGCTTCACCGAAGTAGCTGCCTCACGTACCTCCTGCCGCAAGCTGAGCACTCAGTCAGAGGGCAATTGGCTCAAGCAAGCCAAGCATTCAAGGCCAAACAAGTTTACTTCAAGGCCATCTCCGTGAAGCCATGTGGGAGTGCATGCAATGTCAGTTGTTCACCTTTCAGCTCATTGTTCTCGGTAATGAGCTCTTTCATCTGCTGGACCATCTCCTCAACCGTGGATGTGCCGAGTGGGGCAGGCGGCACAATTGGGTGCCCATTTTCCACCTCAGTCTTGCTACACTGCCCATTATCAGCAAGGCAGTTTAATGGCTTCTTGGACATTGCTACAGTTACTTTGCAGAGAAAGAAAAATAGATAAGTATAATAATACACCTTCCATTGGGCTATGGTTTATATACACAAGGAGTTATTTGGGCTATGAAATTTTGATGAATGAAAACATTGTACTAATTAGTACACATAGTTCTCATCAGCTCTTCTGTAGACATTGGTCAGAACGAGGTCCAGAAGTTTCTGGACAGGTGTGCGGGGGGGAGGGGGGCAGAGCAGGATCACACCGCCTGCCCATGCCCCACCAAGGCAGGTATTGGATGTTAGTGAGAAAGGGCTGCATACTGGGTGTTTTTTGGACTGCAGCGGGGAGCCCGGATGGGCGCAGGCTTTGCAACTGCAGGGAAGATTTCTCATTAACGTTGTACACACAGCCGGCAATGGAGTCTGCCTGCGGGGGTGACGGCTAACCCCTGTGAGCAGCCCCAAAGTGGTCTCACCGGGGCGCAAGCCTGGCGACCAGACCCCCCTCTCGACCTCGGGCTCTGTCTGGGCTTCCCTCCCGAGCCTTTTCTTCTGCGCCCCCCGCCCGACCCCCCGGCCCTCCCGGCCCGCTCCCCGCGCGCCCCCGCCCTGACCCGGGGCCTCCGGCGCCTCTCCCCTCGCCGCGGCAGGCTCTGCCCCGGGGCCCCTCACCAGGCCGCGGCCCCGCAGCTCCTCTGGCCCGAGCTCCGCGGCCGGCGGCCCTCCTCCTCCTCCTCCTCGGGCGGCGACGCGGAAGAGGCGGCGGCGGCGGGCGGGAGGCCGGCCTTGCCCCTCGGGCCGGTCAGCTGGCGGAAGCGGCGGCTCCTCGCCCCGGCGCCTGTCGGGCCTTCCTCCTCCGCGTCCCGCCAGGGCGGCTCCGTTTCCAGGCGCCGCGCTCTTGAGGTTATGCAGCCATTTCTCGGGTGGCTTCTGCGATTTCAGCAGGCACCGCTCCATTGTCAAGCCTACATTTTAAACAGTAAAAACATGCTGTTAAAAAAGAAACCAGAAACTAATTTTGTGGCAAGTCCTTCATCCGACATCATGCCACACGCAGCCCCAGCTGGAAGGCACGACTAGCCTTATACTTGGGCAGACTTAGCTCTTCATCTGCCTTGGCCTCCACCAACTGTGTTTTGGACCACAACGCCCATCCGTCTCGGCCACTAGTCCATAACACTGGAGGGCACCAGGTTGGTGAAGGCAGAGCTCTGTTCTTCTATTAAAATGGAACAATCTGTTAGGAATCGTATAACATGGAGGATGTTTCCTTGCTGCAAACTGAATGTCATCCAGCTTACACAATTCCTTCCAGCTCTGCAGTGCTATGATTCTTTGTTTGAGACAGGGAGCTGTCACACACTTTTTGGGAGCCTTTACTTAAGGCCATTATTTATCTCAGCTACTTCTAGTTTTTGGTCCAGTGCCATGACCTCTAATCGTCAACATCAGTGCTGCAGTAAATTGCAAATTAGTTTTAACAATTTCTGAGAAATGCATTGCTTTTCTAGCAGCCTATATAAAGAGCAGATAGGGAACTGCAGAGAAACGGGCACAGTTAAATATCTTTGCCTTCTTGCCAAGATAAGAGTCTGCTATGCATTCAGACTGTCTGAGCTTTTCTCCCAAGCAGCAGGGAACTTAAAGCACCATGAAGAGCTGACCCTTCCAAATTTAAGTATAATTTTGAAAGTTGGGTGCTTTTCCCAGCAGTATCACAGAATGAATGTCACCACATCATATGGAGTGGTGGCATAATTAATGCATTTTTAAAAATCATTGTCAACTGCTGTTCAGCTAGTGGAATGAGCTAGGACCTATTCTTTGGTTTTTAAAGGACAAGTCTAAATGTTAGGAATTTAAAAAAAAAAAGATATATCTGTTCATTGACCATGGGGAAGGACCATAGCTCAGAATCCCAAGACTGTACAAAAACACTTTAGGGGGGAGAATCTGGGAGCGGGGACAGGACTCAAAAACATCCTGGTGATGACTGAGCATGCTGAGTGCTAATGGAATGCTGAATGAATGTTGGGGATGGCAATAAGCCACAAGGAAGAGGAAAAAGACTGGAGAAAGGTATGGTTCTTGGGCCAGAATCTTGAATAGGGTCACTTCCAAACTAGCCTGTTTATTGAGGATTCATCCTGATATATTTACACAAAGTTTGTGGGAAGGTTCAAAAATGCTGGCTGTTTATTGAGCATTCCTTCCTAATAATTTGTTATTCTACTTTAAACTCTGCAATCTCAATTTGCCAAGATGTGATTGAATCCCACCTGCCAAATAACACCAGTCTGGAAATGCCTGATGAGCACTTCAGCTGCAGCATTTTCCGGCAGGGCACTGTGCTTTCCCATTTATTTTTGCCTAGAAGAATAGACACTGTACTCTGTTTGCTTACATCACTGCAGGAGAGGCTCTTGTAAAATAAAGGAATACAGCAGTTGCTGTTGATTGTATGTACATTAGCCAGTGATCCTATTGAGCTGATAACTACACAAATTTTAACTTCTTTTTTAAAAAAAGAAATCATCAGCAGAGTGTTGGAGGCTATGTCTCAACATTCGGGCAGTACATGAAGGCTGCCAATGAGCATCCAGTCTGTTTGCAAATGACCCATTTCATTTGTCTTCAAGTGGTAAGGCAAATTAGTATTCTGTGAAAATAAGGAAAACGGAGGGAGGGCCGATTAGCTTGTGTGCAGAAGGTAGCAGACTCCATCCCAGGAATAGCATCATATGCAAAATATTTCAATTATCATGACAATTAAAGAACTTCAAGTCATGTTTGCATGTCTCCAGCAGATGGCACTGATAATCTAGCTAGATCAGGCAGGCAGGTTGGATTACACAGGTTGATAATACAGTCATACCTTGGGATAAATACGCTTCAGGTTGAGCGCTTTCGGGTTGTGCTCCGCGGCGACCCGGAAGTAATGGAGCGCGTTACTTTCAGGTTTCGCCGCTTGCCCATGCGCAGACGCTCAAAATGACATCACGCGCATGCGCGGAAGCGGCGAAACGAGGCACATGCAGACGCGCTGTTGTGTCTTACGTTCTGTTCGGGATGCGAACGGGACTCTGGAACGGATCCCGTTCACATCCTGTGGTACCACTGTATTGAATGTACAGTGGTACCTTGGTTTACGAACTTAATCCATTCCGGAAGTCCGTTCTTAAACCAAAGTGTTCTTAAACCAAGGTGTCCTTTCCCATAGCAGTGGGGGAGTCAATTTACAAATGGAACACACTCAACAGGAAGCAAAACTTACTTATTTCAAGGCAAAATTCACAAACCAAATCACCTACTTCTGGGTTTGCAGTGTTCTTAATCCAAGTTGTTCATAAACTAAGCTGTTCTTAAACCAAGGTACCACCGTATATATGATATTCTTGTAAAGAAGCTGGTAAAATGCGGTCTTGACTATGCTACCACTCAGTGGATTTGTAACTGGCTGACTGACCGAACCCAAAGGGTGCTCATCAATGGTTCCTCTTCATCCTGGAGAAGAGTGACTAGTGGGGTGCCACAGGGTTCTGTCTTGGGCCCGGTCTTATTCAACATCTTTATCAACGACTTGGATGATGGACTCAAGGGCATCCTGATCAAATTTGCAGATGACACCAAACTGGGAGGGGTGGCTAACACCCCAGAGGACAGGATCACACTTCAAAACGACCTTGACAGATTAGAGAACTGGGCAAAAACAAACAAGATGAATTTTAACAGGGAGAAATGTAAAGTATTGCACTTGGGCAAAAAAAATGAGAGGCACAAATACAAGATGGGTGACACCTGGCTTGAGAGCAGTACATGTGAAAAGGATCTAGGAGTCTTGGTTGACCACAAACTTGACATGAGCCAACAGTGTGACGCGGCAGCTAAAAAAGCCAATGCAATTCTGGGCCTCATCAATAGGAGTATAGCATCTAGATCAAGGGAAGTAATAGTGCCACTGTATTCTGCTCTGGTCAGACCTCACCTGGAGTACTGTGTCTAGTTCTGGGCACCACAGTTCAAGAAGGACACTGACAAACTGGAGCGTGTCCAGAGGAGGGCAACCAAAATGGTCAAAGGCCTGGAAACGATGCCTTATGAGGAACGGCTAAGGGAGCTGGGCATGTTTAGCCTGGAGAAGAGGAGGTTAAGGGGTGATATGATAGCCATGTTCAAATATATAAAAGGATGTCACATAGAGGAGGGAGAAAGGCTGTTTTCTGCTGCTCCAGAGAAGCGGACACGGAGCAATGGATCCAAACTACAAGAAAGAAGATTCCACCTAAACATTAGGAAGAACTTCCTGACAGTAAGAGCTGTTCGACAGTGGAATTTGCTGCCAAGGAGTGTGGTGGAGTCTCCTTCTTTGGAGGTCTTTAAGCAGAGGCTTGACAACCATATGTCAGGAGTGCTCTGATGGTGTTTCCTGCTTGGCAGGGGGTTGGACTCGATGGCCCTTGTGGTCTCTTCCAACTCTATGATTCTATGATTCTATGATTCTATGTATCAAGATGACTTGTTCAAGGCTGTTCAAAACGTTTGGAGGGCACCAGACTGGCAAAGGCTGCATTAGACAATATAGATCAGCTGGAGCAGTTGCCATCATTAAGTTAATATACTTTATGTGTGTTGGTCCCAGCAGAATTTCCCAGCCAAATCTACAGTTTGCTCTATTAGATACAGTATGTAATGCTCTTCCAGCTTCTCCCTAATGGGGCAAATTCAATGGGAAAACTGTTCTCTAGATCTCATCTGAATTGCCCACTTCCATGGCTGCTATTTCTGAACATTCAAAGAAATGATCTTAGCACAGATCTCAGTTTTCTGTTAAGGCCCTTGGATGTGTGAAAATTCTCTAAATTGAACAGTCCAAGCTAAGGAACAAGCAACCCATATAGTGAGAGGTATGTGACAGGCTAGACTGTAATCTAAACAGCAGCAACAACTTTAAAACCGAAGCTTATGAGGAACTGTTGAGAGAATTTGATATGTTTAGCCTGGCAAACAGGAAACAGAGGAGATATGATAGCCATCATCAAATATCTCAAGGGCTGTCACGTGGAAGATGGAGCAAGCTAGTTTTCTCCTGCTCTGGAAGGTAGGATTTGAACCAATTGCTTCAAGTTGCAGGAAGGGAGATTCCGACTAGACATATGAAAAAAACTTCCTGACAGACCTGTTCCTCAGTGGAACAGTCTCCCTCGGGAGGTGGTGGACTCTCCTTCCTTGCAGGTGTTTGAGCAGAGATTGAATGGCCATCTGTCATGGATGATCTAGATGAGATTCCTGAATTGCAGGGGGTTGGACTAGATGACCCTTGGGGTTCCCTCCATCTCTACAGCTTTACAATTCTCCAATTCTAAAACATCTAATTGGTGAGACTCTGGTTTTGATCAGAGCAGTGGTGCTGAAGGAGAGGGCATTCTGCATTCTTTCCCACTTTCTAAGGTTACTTCCACCCTAAGCTGCTATTTATTAAGCCTGTTGGGCAGGAAATACATGCATGATATGTACCCTAATGGAGCTAATAGCCAGAGGGAGAGAGAAGGGGTCAGTTTAAATTAAGGGGGAAATGATTCAATCTTCCCCCACACAATACAGCAGCTCCAATTAAAATCACCCCCTTCCTCACTGACCCAGTCAAAACAACAACATAATGGGCATCTGATCACAGTTCTGTGTTGCATGTTGTTTGACCCTCTCAGATACACGCTTAAGAATAAATAAATATAGGAGAAACAGTTTGATGTTTGAAAGCAGGACTCAGTAAAACTAACATTAAAGAAGCCACGCAGGTTAAGCGAAGAAGACGAAAGAGCAAAGGCCGCTTTAGAGCCCAGAGCTGCTTTGTGAGTTGCCCTGAGCCGTGATTCTGATGCTCCTTTCTAGCTGCCCATTCCTGATGACAGCATGACGTGACCTAGTCAAAACTCATTCATCCTCCTGCAGATCAGAGGCAACACTTTTCACAACATCACTTTATGGTCCCTTATTCCTTTGATGATGCTTTCCTCGAGTTTAGCTGGCAGATTCAGTTAAATGTAGTTTGCGGTTGTCTCCTTGTTTTGCCTCTTCCTATGCTTGGCCATTGAGAGCAGGCAATAAGTACTAATGAGCAGCTGGCTATCTGAAGCATCAGGAACTTGAGTTGCCCCCCAGTGCCAGGGGCTGGGGC